ACAATAAGTAGGAGTAGTGCTGTATAAAAACAAATATTCATTAATATTTTATAAAAGATCTTCATTAAAGTTCTATAATTATGAAGCTATGTTTTAATAATCAAGAGTTAATCAGAGAAGTGGAAATTTAGGAAGATTGTTTGAAAATGTGTACAGAAATAGACTAGATTTGCAGATAGAGTAGATCAGAGTTAACATTATACCTGCAGAAATTTTGTAAGATTTAAATTCAGTCTGAGTAATAAGTCTAGTTCTCTCCTTTGAGCATTCCCTAAAAGGTATCTGATTTGACATTCTTAGAGCTGCAGATAGAAATATACAAAGACAAAAATAAAATTAAGTTCTCATTCACTGTTAGAAAATGGCAACAAGAAACTTGTGAAACTGACTTATAATGAAGTATTGGTGAACTAGGCTCGTAGTAACTGACCAACTAAGCATAGTTTGTGTTTACCCTAGTTCTTCAGTTTAGGTTATTTGAGAGTTATAAAGGTTATTAAGAGCTTAAGGCAAGGAAGAAAACATGGAATTCTGTTGGAAGGACAACAGAGCATTCTTGGAAAAGCAATCTCACTTGGGCTTTTCATCTGTGTTAAACTGGAACCTATAAATCCCCACAGAGCATGGACAATCGACAGTTGGAAGGAAACAATTTTTGCCCGATGATCACTTCCATTTTGTATACACCCTTGGTTTGTGTAGGCCATATTCTAGCTGGCTTTTCAGTCATAAAAATCCAGTATATAATGTATCAGATACAATTGAGGTTCTAATCTAGTCTGTTAATTTATCTGAAGTTGGATTTTTAAAAAGTAATAAAAAGTTAAATGTACTTCCCTTGGATGCTTTGTTTCTTTCCTTTTTGAAACAGGTGAACCAAGTGTAAGGGATCACCAACTATTATTGGCACACATATTAAGAGATTACTGATAGCTTTCCGCAGTTAAATAGAGCAGGAGTCAGAAACTGTTGAGAGCCAGGTAGTAAATAATTTAGTTATTAAAGGTCCTGCGGCCTGTCACAAGTATTCTGTCACAAAGCATCTATCACAGGTAGTACATACATAAACCAGCACTACTGTATTCCATTGAATGTACAAAAGAAACACTCTGGCCATAGTTTGCTGGCCCATGAAATAAAGATTTAAAATTTAGGGTGTGGGTTTTTTTCCCCAAGATTTATATTTTGGAAAAAAAAAAAAGTCAATGTGCTGAAAAGTTGGAAGAATAGTTTTGTTCCTTTAAAAAGATGATCTTTTTTTCCTTCTATTACCATTTCCTTTGACTATAAGCTTTGGATCCTGTACTCAAGCCCCTCACGCCTGTCCTGATTTTGTCCCTCTCCTGATTGATAACACACCGCCTTTTGTCTACTACTTTTTACTGCTTCAAAGACGTTTCATGTGTATCCTTAACCATCTAGGAAGCTGGAAGAGGGTACATTAGAGTCTAAGTCGCCTAAAGAGGCTCTTATTTTTAGTCCAAAAATAATCAAGATCAAGGTCCTGTTGTCTTGGTGATTGTAACAGTAAAATGGAGGTGTCAGCTTCCCAGCCTAAAGCAATGGATAATGCCTGGAAAGTCACATTGAATATTAGTGTCCCTGCAAATAGAAGGGATTATTTGTAATGTGCTAAGGTCTATTTTTACTTTTTTCTTTTCATATTTTTAACTAGTTTTCAAGATCTTTATTAACTTATTTCGTTCTTTTCTTCCTCTAATTTTATTAGCTGCCTTTATGTTCGGCAATTTCTGTTAGCCAGATTATTAGTACAAACTTGGATTACTTCTGGTTTTTAATGAACATTATGTCTGGTTGGAAGACTAAAGGTAGAGGGATCTACTATGCAGTCAACTTCTCCATTTCAAAATTTAAGTTGTTAAGTCTATGATATAACATTAGAAAAGGAGGAAATAGACCTACACTGGGACCCATGGAGTCAACAAACCTAAAAATGTATTTAAAGTCATTTGATTGTTTTAAATGATTTTCCTTTTCAAAGTCTGCATACTTTATGGTGAAAGGAGTTTCAAATGAAAACAAATGGAGGTAGTTGTAGGGAGAAGTTAAGTCATTTTAACTGGCCAGTGTTAACTCCATATAATAACAATCTAAGTCACTGAGGTTACTTGACTTGATTCTGAAGGTTGGTGAAGGAAGGTGAAGGTCTAGAGAGTGAGACATGGAAGGTGACTCCTAGCTGGATTTGGTCAGAGAGGTGTGCTACATACAGTTAGAGACCAGTAGGGTAGGGCAACCCTGTTGAATAGGCAAGGACTGTAGATGTAATAGTTGCTATATTCAATGCTGGATGTAGGGTCTGTGGCTATCAATCTTTCCCAGGCAGAGACTTGGAGATATGAGATGTCAGGACCCCATTAGGATGACTAGGTGTTTACAGGGGCAAGAGCATTGTGGGAGATGGCAGGAGCCAGTGCTGGGAAGGTAAGAGAAAGGCCTGAAGGTGAATTCAGGGCCTGGTTTGTTACCTCCAGCAAAGACAAAGGTTTTGAAGAGCCACAAAGGGTCTTAAGTACTTGCTAAAAATATTAACAATTATTTTAATTGCCTTCTGTAAAGAGCATAGCACCTTTTCAGTGGTCAGCAGTGTAAAGGAAGAAATGAGCTGGTAGGGGAAAGTGCCCACTTCATTGTGGAAATTCTACCCTCTATGCTGAAGGAGGTTTTGATATATAGTGATCTGGAAAGGTAAAATGATAAGTGGCCAAGATGATATAACTACAGAGGATCAATTCAGTTGTCTGGAAGGAGTCTGAGAGCACTGAAATGAACCTAGTTACTTTGGGCATAGGGGTACAGATGGAAGAAGCTGGCAGGGTAAGACATCTCACCAAGCAACGAAAATCCACTTGCAGGTTTTCTACTGGACCTGGAGGTAATGGGGAGGAAACTCTCACATAATTAGGAATGTAAAATGGAACTAAATTGATCAGCTTTAGGTCATAGAGCCTTTTATTTTAAATTTACTCAGGTTTTTTTTTTTCATGGGATTTAAATTAAAAATGTATTTTTAAAATTATTCAAACCCAGAATTTATTGTAAAAATGATGAGTGAAATCAGGAGCTGTAGAATTGAAAATATTGACCCTCCCTGTTATTCCTAACAATATAAATATTTTATTGCTGTTTATTGATAGAGCAAAGTAGCATCTAAACATGCCTTCTGACATAAAACTGTACAGTTTGCTCATCCAGGAGCACCAGCCTTCAAAATATTTGGACAAAAGGTGTTGATGAGAAGATCTGGTAGCTCCTCACTAGGTGGGTTGCAGAGGCAATAAAAGCTCACAACCTCAGTGCATCACAAGAGGTGGTCTCTCATCTATTTTCCTCTATTTAGAGGAATTCCCTGCTAATGAGGAAGCCAGTTGGCTGTTTGCCTAGTGCCATCTGGAGACCTGCAAGTGTCACAGAAGTTTGTTAGGCCTTTTAGATGTTGACTTTGTGGACTTGTCTACTGACAGGTGGTGACCTTCACTGGGGTGAACTCAGAGAACTATGGCGTTGGGTTTGACTCCTTTCAGCATTCAAGCAGAAATGCTGTTCAGTTGCCTCCCACACCTATTGCCTATTTAGTGGCCACTTGGCCTTCCCTGCCATTTGGTGGCATTGCCCCTCCCCCCTCTGCATTCCCTCCTCCCACCTGCCAGTTTCTAAACAGATCTTGCCCAATCTGGCTCCATTCTATGTGTACCCATTTGAAAAGAACTTGGGTAACAGGCAGAGATAGAGGAGGCTCTGCATTTCTTTGAAGATTCAGGACAAAATAATCCTACAGTACCTTCCAGTGGTTATGCTTTTACCTTTTCCTGGTTTGAAGGAATTATCTAGTTAATAGGTGAGAAAACATAAGAAATTGAGAATCTGGTGTAAAGCCCAGCTCAGTGTCTCATGTGAACTATTTTGTCATTAGTGGTTGTAAAACCATATGGAAACTCCAAAGAAAAGTTCAGTCTAATTTTCTGCTTTCAGTCTGAATGCAAGAAGATTCTACTGGTGTGTTGATAAAAGCCTCTGCGTGTACACATTGCTGTGTTATACTTAAGGCAATGCTTGCATAAAAAGATTTTTGAAAAGCAAATGATAATGTCTCTAAATCAAGATGGCTCAGTTCTGACAATTTTTACACATAAGGTACAACATTCAAAACATAGGTTTCAATTTTTTTTTTTTTTATTGTGCTCCTAAGCTATCTGGGCATATGTTTTTCATTGGGGGAAAAAATTCCAGAAATTGATCATTTTTATTCCACTAAATTAATGGTGAGGAACTTATTTGATAAAACATGTCTGTAATTCAACACAAAAAGCACGTTCATTTGTTCTTTTTGCCTGTAGGAAACATCTTAGACTATTTTACTAAAGGATAGGGTCACCTAGAGGGGAAATCTGTCGTCTTAAATCGTTCTTCTTTACACGTCATCAGCCAATACATGAGCTTGGGTGGGTGCTGCAACAACTGGAGGAGGGGATGTTGAGAGAGCTCAGAGAATCCTTGCTTTTTCCTGCGGTGAGAGGGACTTTATCTCTTCAGAGAAGCGATGGTCTGAAAACACACTGCGAGTTGGTAGAGACGCGAACCGCTCAAATAGGGCTGCTGGCCGTGTTCCTGCCTTCGTCCACGTGTGCCTCGGGGAGTTGTAAAGTGAGTTTTGAGAATAAGGCGGGAAGCCCAGGTTTGATATCCTGGAGCTATGTTCCCGAGGGCCGAAGGCCAAGGTGGCATCCGACCAAGGGCGCCTTCCACTGGGTGGGCGCGCCGCTGGTCCCCGGCCCTTGTCTTCAGCATCTTCACCTTGCTCCCCTTCCTCCGAAGTTGCGGAGGTGCCGGGAAGAGGAGGGGCCTCGTCTCGGGCGCCCGAGTGATTGGTTGTCCGGGGTCCTTGGCGAGGGCTCTGTGGTCCAGCCCTGGTGGAGAGGGGCGGAGCGGCCACTGCTCCAACCACCGCCGCCACCGCTACAGTCGCAGCCGCCGCAGCCCCGGCCGCTGGGGAAGTCACTCCGAGCGGCTGCTTTCCGGGTGCCCCAACACGGACAGGGAGCGCCGCGCTCAGCTCGTTTTGCGCCAGAGCCATGCCCCGCAGCCGCGTGTAACCTCCGAGCTTCGACCGCCGCGAGCCCACCTCGTGCACCGTCCCTCGCCCGAGCCGAGCTTTCTGTGCACGCAACTCCCTCGGCCCCCGCCGCCCCGCACAACCATGCCCCGGGCGACTGCCTTTGGGGCCCCGGTGTCACTGCTGCTGCCGCCCCTGCTGCTGCTGCTGTTGCCGCTGCCCCGCGGCACTGGGGGGCTGGAGGAGCGCTTGGACGTCGCCTCGGACTATTCGGCTCTGGAAGGCGAGGAGGGCGCGGAGCAGCAGCTGGAACATTACCACGACCCTTGCAAAGCCGGTAGGTGCTGTCGCCTCCGGGGAAGTCCGGCAGAAGTTTGCCTTTGAAATGCAAATGAGTGGTGGGCAAGCCGGCGCTGCAGTCTGTGGGGCTGGTCTCCCCTCCCCTCCCTGGAGATGCCCCGGGTTCCCCGGGAAAACAATGCTTACTAGGAGCTGCTTAAATACCCCTCTGAGCCCTGGACGTTCCGGCAGGTTTGCTGCGCTCACCGGGTGGTGGCCGCAGGGACGTTCCCAAAGCGAATCGGGTTGAGTACCCGAGGCCGAGAGGGCGCTGAGGGTCCGAGGCTGCCTGTCAGCCGAGGGTTCAGCACCAGCCGCCGCCGGACGCTTTGGGCTGTAGCAGAGCAACCGGCTGGGCGCGGCGCTCCGGGGCTCAGATGGAGTTGCTGGCTCTAGCTTCACAGCATTTGTAAGTTTTGCTCAAAGTTTCCCAAGATCTGTAGGTACTCTTGGGAAGAAATTTTAAGAAGAAAGAGAAAAGCTTCACGGTCTGTAGAAGGAAGGGTCGCCTAGGAAGAATGCGCAGGACTTGAATTGCGGCAAACTTCCCGGTAGTCCCCTCACCATCGTCCCGGCCCGGAGTTGCCCTGGGCGTGTGGAGATGGAAACCAGCAGGTGCTCTAATCCCGCCAGGAAGCGGCGCCCGGGACGCGCGGCTTCTGCTTCCCGCTAACTACCATCTAGCTGGGGGTTCTCTGGGTAGTGGCTTCTGAGCAGGAATCCTTGAGTTGTCAGCCCCAGAAGGACCCAAGCGCAGGTTCCAAAGATAGCTGAAGGGGCAGTTCCCAGCCAGGCCAGGGGGTTGCTCTCCTCCCGGGGAGGTGCTGGGCTCAGAGGACCCCACTCCTGCTCTGTGGCCAGGGGCCCGTAGGTAGTGGTGTTTATCTCTGAGCATTGTCTAGCCAGTGTCACTTAGCGGCCAGCTGAGAGGAGCAGAAAGAGGTAAGCCGTCACCCTCAGAAGGCTGGTTGTGTCTTCCAGGTCTGTGCCAGTGTCATGGTCCAGAGCTGCATTCTCTCCTTCCTCTTTCAGCCTCGTTTCCTCATCTCTAAATTGGGGAGCAAATAGGAAGGCTCAGATGATTTATGGAAAAATTCTTTTCCAATGGAATGACGATGATAGCATTTTAGTTATTTTTATTGTTACTGCAGTGGCTCTGGTATAGCCTGGGTGGAAACCAGAGGAAGTCAGGAAAGAAAGGGTTCCTAAGAGGCTAGAGGACCTAGGGAATTTGTGAGACCTCAAGATTACATAAAGGTTGAAGATCAAACCAGGCATGAGGAGCCTGGTTTTACCACAGGGAAGATTCTTGCAGAATATCCACCTAGTGCTATGTCTTGTGGGTCTTCTGAGTTCGGAAGGTGGGCAGAAGTAATTCAAGAGAATGTCAGCAGGTAGCATGCAGTGCCTCAGGGGACATCACTCATAGCCAAGGGAGAAGGGTATCCAGAGTGCTGTTGGGATGGCGGTCTGGCCCTGAAAAGAGGGTACTGAGTTTGGGAGAATGGGGCAGAGGTGGATCAGCCACCAGCAACACCTGTCAGGTACTGGTCTCTGCCAGGTGGGAGCTGGCACTTGCGGAAGGCAGTACAGCAGCTGGTGCTCAGGAATAGGTTGAGCACCTGCAGTATGTTGGATGCTGGCCTGGACACCGCAAATCCAGAGGTAAAAAAGACACAGTGCTGTCTGTGACAGCTTCCCAGCCTTGTCTCAGCCTTGAGGGAGATCCCTGAGGCAGTGTAGCCTGATGGGACCTCATTTTCTCTAGCAGTTTTGGAGAGAATGTTGGATAACCAGGGGCAGGCATGTTCTGCAACTGTTGCCCACAGGATGGGATGGGCTGGCAGGGCGAAAACGTGGAGGATCCTGGGAGTGTGGTTTCTGTTAGCTCTGCATCCTCCCAACCCTCTGGCCTCTCGGGGCTATGTGATGCTAAGAGCGGCCAGAAGAGGGCAATGGCAGGGGAGACCTAGGGAGAAGGAAACAATCTCATTCTACCCAATCTCATGGAAATTCCTTGATCTAGGGAACAGCCTAGATCAAGGAACTAGCCTAGGGAAGGGTAACAAGCAGTTCAGAGGGCACTGAAGTCTCAATGAAAGGATTTGCCTTTGGGCTCAGCTGAAGGGAACTGCACTTCCTGGTTGCGTATTTAAAGCAAACTTTTAAGAGCAGCTCATTCCTGTCTCAGCCAGAAGCCCTTCTCCTAGGATCTGCTTCAGGGTTTCTAGTCTAAAATAGTTCCCACGTGTCTCTTCTCCATTGTTGGTCTCCATTCTCTGTGGATCCCGCATGCAGAGGGGAGAGACTTGGATCTGTTCCTGGCCTCTCAGTAGCTGTGTCACCTTGGACGCATCCCCTGTGGAAGGAAGATTTTGGTCTTGTTAAGAATGACAGTTCTGGGGTGCTTTCCTCTTGGTTCTCATCAGCCATCTTGCCCTGGGACCACTTCACACCTAACAGGCATTTGAGCCACCCCCCAGTTCCTTCCTATTCAGTGTTTTATGGTTTTGTGACCTTTGATTCCAGCCAGGCTTTCAGAGGCTGAGCAAACTTGCAAGTGTTATATGTACTGTTTACAATGTTAATGTTTATAGTTCATCACTTTTTCAATTTACTTTTTACCAGTTTACCATTTATTTTACCATTTGCTCTGCCGTTATAAATTGCATGACCTTGAACAAGTCATTTGATTTATAATTTCTGATAGATGGAAGTGCTTAGAACAGTGGTTGGACACATTGTTAGGTACTTTATAAATAGATTTTCTAGAAATATGTGGAAAGAACATCTTCATGCAGATCTTTTGAAGCAGATTTTAAGCTGTAAATTCTATATTTACTAATAGACAGTCTTTGATGCTGTGAAGGGGGATGACTTTTATATCAGATGATTATGGAGTGGGACTGAATCTGTGAAGCACTCCTGGCCTGGGGCTGGTGAGGGACGTTGGGTTTCTGGGGTACATATTTTTGTCCAGTGGTTTATAGCTCTGCTGTTTTGCTTTTCCTCTGATTCAGACAGAACAACCCTGTACTATACAGTAAATCATAACACCCTCCCACCACCAGGCCTCTGAGAGCAAAGCTTGGTGCGCCTTCTGCTGCTGCCTGACCTCATCCATAGCTCTTTAAGTAGATTCAAGCCAGAAGGCCTGGATCCTTATCAGACCTTGCCTCTTACTCTCTGTGTGACTGTTAACAAGTCATTTTACTTCTCCATGCCTCATTCTCCCCATCTGCAAAATGGAGATGAGAGCAAAAATACTTGTCTTGTAGGCTAGATATAAGGCTAGTTTTATTTGAATTCCTCAGAGAGCAAGGCCTTATACGAGGACTTGTGTGTAGACAGTGTGTTTGGAAAGCAATCCCAGGAACCAGAGGGGAGGGAGCAGGAAGGGTGAGATAGAGAAGGAAATTCCATATAGGGAGTGGGATTGAGGTAGCTGTTTTATGTGATGGGATTTTGACCCCAATGGGACCTCAGAGAAGCTTACAGAATATTTCCTAGAATTATCTGCCAAAGGATAGGAGGCTGAAGCATTTATCCAGAGGCTGCTCCCTTCGTTGTTTGCTCCCTGATCCAGTCTCTATTCTTGCACAAGAGACCACCCCCAACTCAGTGGTGTAGAACAATCACCATGTTCTTATATCTGGAGTCTGTGGATTAGGAATTTGGAAAGGACCCAGCAGCATGGCTTTTGTCTGTTCCATGTTGTCTGAGCCTCACCTAGGAAGATTTGCAGGCTGGAGTGACTCACCAGCTAGGGGCTAGAATCCTCTGGAGGCTCGTTCACTCACATGTCTGGCAGTTAAGATTGGCTGTTGCCTGGTACCTCAGTTGGACTGTTGGATAAAACATCTGCAAATGGCCTCTTGTGGTTTCTCTGTGAGTGCTAGTTGGGCTTCCTCATAGCATGGCCACTGGACTCTAAGTGAATCCATGAGAACCAGATGGAAGCTATAGTGCCTTTGATGGTCTTGCCTTGGGCTTATGAATCATCACTTCCACTGTGGTCACAAGCCCTCCCAGACTCAAGGGAAGGGAACAGAGACTCACCTGTCCAATGAGAAGAATGTCACAGTCACATTGTTAAACAAGAATGTAGGATAGGAGATATTGTTGTAGCTGATTGGGGAAACTGTGACCTGCCATCCTCCTGCACATCCAGGCTTTGTGGGCCCTCCAGGTTCAGAAAGTCCTAAAGCAGAAATGTGGGGAGACATGGAGTGAAGGCATGGAATTGCCCAGAGTTGAGCTGAGGGCATGTGACTCAGGTCACCAAAATTGTTTACATGAGGCTCAGATTATGTGAAAGTGCTTGTATAGCCTTTGAATTTATTAAATCCAAGGGAACCTGCGGGCAGCCAGCTTTATGTTTCAGCCAGTGGTTGGACAGGTGCCAGGGCTTCCTCACAGCTGAGTCCTGGGTTGGTGATATGATAAAGTTCGTGGCACCTGATGATGCATGGCTCAAGAGCCAGTGGTGAGGGTTGTGGCCTGGGAACTGGTCTATTTCTTTGTGAGCAGGTTTAGATCCCTTTCACACTTTCAGACCTTATTTCTGCCTAGAATTTGGGGCCTCACTCCACCTTGTCGTTCTCTCCAGGATGCCTTACTAATCAGGTGTGTTTTGGAAGGGGTCACCTAGAACACTCTCTGGGGCATCTCTTGCCAGCAGCCATCACATTGCTGATGTAAGACTAGAATGTTAAACTTTACAGAGTCGGGGATTTTGTCACAACGCCGGTACCTACCGTATCCAGCATTCTGAAGGCATTGGTCATCATCTGTTGTACCAGGGAGGAGTGATTCAGGCCCTCTGTGGGTTGGGTCCTTTGCTGATGGAACTCCATACTTGCTGTCAGCCTGACAGGAAAAGTAGCCCTGGCCAGAGGGCTGCAGACCTCATGAGAATTCCTGGGGCTCTTGGGCCCCAGGGCAGGGCTTTTCCAGCCTTTCTACCATTCATGGCAGGCACCAGCACTCTGGTTCCTA